TCAATCGGATGCCCGGTGCTTCGTGATCCGGAACGTGCGGTCGGTTTTGACTGAAAAAAACCGACAAGGATAAAATAGTTAAATGTCAAACCGGAACATGTCGGGTGAGACCGATAGCTTCAGTATATACGGCCCTCGAAGCCACTTACAACGACATACAACTATAGGAAGTCATGCGCCAACAAGTTTATAAATCATTGACTAATCGTAAGATGGACATACGTAAAGATCTCGATTGCCGAATGCATATGCATGGGAAGACATGTTTGAACAATTGAAATTGATTATGCGTTAATGCATATCCAAGCTCAAAGAATCCAGCCGAGTTGGGGTCCATGAAGAAGGAGCGTGTAGATAAACATGATTAAGCCAATCTAAAACTCAAATGCGCGCCACGATACGACACCTAGTTTCGTCAAAAACTTAAACGTGATTAACATACATGAACCCACAACATGTGACAATCTAGATTAAAATAATTTGGCCGTTCACGAGCATGTTATCTATTTGCAAAGGTATTATGAAAGTAATGATCATTGAAGCTCGAATAAAACCATAGAAGAGGGCCGAACAATATCAATCTAGATTGGGCAAAAAGTGTGTTACAAATATATAAAATATTTAAAACATGCAACACAGGATAACTTGATGAATCTATTTAGATTTTGCAGTAATCTAATAGAGCCGATAATCTGCCTTTGCTTCCACTAAGCATATTGAGCAAACGCACGCATACGGTATCTACTCATAAACAAAGTATAAGCGAAGACTTCTTGATTGTCAAGCAAAGATCCGCCATACGATCATTGAAAACAAACAAGACTACTTGCATCACGTTTAAATCCACCGCATGATACTAAACATGATAACAAGGTTGTCGGAACTTACGGAGGTCGACGGATCGATGACTCCTCTCGAAGAACTTCGGCGACCACGACAAAAGGACTCGAAAGTTGGCACGGGGCGGTTGTATTGATTTGGTTGTGAACGCCTATTACAATGGTCGAGGGTCAATATTTATACCCTAGACGAAACACGAGTCCTAAAAGACTACGATTTACAAAGGAATTCTTTAAATAAACTTGGAAACTACGATTCCTTGCCCCAAACTCTCAGAGTCCTTTATTATTACAACTTTCATCTTCTCGATCAGCTTTGCTTGCCATCTTCTGCTTTCCCGAATGGAGTTATCGCCTTCCAGAATAACCGACCGCACAAGCATTTAGCCGACCGCTTGCGTTATTTGCCGAACACTCTTCTTCCTGCATGTGGGTCCACCTGTCATCTTCCAGAATTGACCAAAATCCAGTGTTAACAGAACCTCTCACAAGCATCCGACATCCAACAGTATTGTGGGTGCCTACCATCATCTCGTACCCGCCGACGTGGGAAACAAGGCTCAGAAGCATACATAATCTCTCCCTCTCACTTGTAAGGCCATCTCCTTGATCTATAAAAGGGGATGCGCTCTCTCCCAACATTCAGGTCATTCCATCTTCACTAAATCGATCAAGTTCACAAGTACACAACCACAGAACCGCTAGGTTCGAACCACAAGCACACACTTGAACACTTAGCTCATAGCGGAGCTCCTGTCGCTCTCGGCCCTTCCGATCGGAGCCTGGCCAGACCTCTTGTACCCCTTATCTTTCTCCTTCTCATTTGTAACCCCACTGTAAACTTCGAGCACCTGGGCTCAGGAATAACGTCACCGACCGACTCAAACTGGACGTAGGGCACGTTGCCTGAACCAGTATAAACCCTATGTCATTGAGTGCTAGGCCACCTCCGATCACAACGTATGACAAAACTATAAATATTTACTTGTTGGTCACTTTCTGCACCGACATATACAAAAGAGGAAAGGTACAAAAGAGTTATACCAGACCTAGAAGACTCTTCCAAACTCCAACCAGAGCTCTTGCTCTAACTCTAACTCTATCTCCCACTACTAGCCTAGCTACTATGAATTGGACAACACTACTAAAGGTTCCTCTCTTGAGCTTGAGTGATCTTTAGTGGAGTGATAGTGATAGTGATGCCTGGCCCTTAGCTCAACACACCTATTTATAGTGTGTAGGATTAAGGGGGGTACTTATAGGAGATGGAGGGAGGTCGGTGGCACCCTGGTGGGATCAGGTAACGTCCCTTGGCGTCGACCGCCGCTAGGATGCACCGCCTCTCCATCCTACGGTGCAAGGGAGCTCCTAGAGGCGGTTGGCAGTTGTGCGAACACAAGGTTGATATGTGCCCTTGTGGTTCGGATTTGTGATGAGTGATTGTCAACGCGATTCGCGTCTTGGGTTGAGTTTGTGAACAAATCATGGCGTGAGTTGGGTCGTGCAACATATCTCTTGGCTTGTGGTGCGCAGGTGTGGAGCTAGGAGGCGGTGGTCGATGGCGAGGTGAAGGTCAAGTAGGGACGCGTGCCGTGTCGATGGACCGGGAGTGGTGAAAGGCGGACGTGAGGCTTGGACTGAGGGACTAGGATGCCGGTTGACTAGCCACGGTGGCTGACATCTGGGGACATCGACAAACACAAGTGTACATGGAAGAGTGATGTGTTGACCGAGTCAAGATGACGGACGTGCAAGTCGAGCGAGGCTTTAGAAGACTTGGTGCCCGGTCGATCGAGGATGGAGGTGACACGCGTCGAGTCACGGGGGACGCGTATGGAGTACGCTACTTGCGGACGGTTTGGTGATTTGTGCCTCAAAATCATCGGATGAACGATTTTCGGGTTTGGGCCTCAAAACCTGGGCAGAGGTTCCAAGGAGGAATGAGGCGGCACGTGACAGAATCACAGAGGTTGCGTCGAGGCGAAGCAAATCTATGCTAAATCGGGTTGGACCATAGTGTCCTTAGGCTAGGTGGTTCGTTTTAAAATATCCAGTGATAAATGAAAAATATGTAATAGGCTCATAAATAAGAGACGACTATCCCCCCACCATCTTACGTATTGCATTTTTCTTTTTCCTCATGTTAGTCTCCTCCTAGGGTTTATTATTGTGGTCCACAAATTTCAAATATATGTAATCAAACCTGAGATTCGAGTTGGGAATGGACGCCCGAATCCTCCACTCGTCCTCCCTCTGTGAATTTTTTATTTCTCGGTTTGCTTTGTGCAGTTCTCTGTTCGTTCTTCCCCTCTCTCGTTCTTGGCCCAAATTATACAGCCCCAGAGTTTGAATCAATTTCAGGCGATGATATTTTGGGGATTCGTTCGTTACTAGTTGAATTTAATCTGTGCAAATTTTGGGGTCGAATCACGGAGTTTTGATTGGATTTCTTGGTCGCTCTTCCCTGCTGTTCTTGCGTCAGTCTTCTTCTCTCTGTTCGTGAGCGCAGGAGCAGTCTCAGTCAAGCCCTGCGGCAGCGCTACCAACGCCGGCTTTCTGGTCCTGTGCGTGCTCAACTGAGCAGCGTTAGCCGTGAGTTTCTGTGGCCGTCTTCTTCTCGGTGTGCCACCAATGGGAACGAACGGTGCAGCCCCCTTCGTTTCCCTTGCAGCCACATCGCTCCAGGCTCAGGTGGCCGTGCGTCTGTTCTGAAGCAGGAGCCGAGCACAGCAGCAGCAGTAGCGCACCAGCGCAGGGTGCCCAGCACCGGCGTTGAGCATCCCGTCGCCGAGCAGACCCGGCGCCGCACGGCTCGATCCCTCTCTCTCTTGTCTTCTGGTTCGTTTCGTCTCTCTGCTGGTTGGGCCCCGCGAGCAGGAGCGCCCCCTGTCCGTGCACTCCCAGACCGAGCGTGGCCACCGCCGTGCGCCCTCCTGGCAAAGGAGGGTGCGGTGTACACCGCCTCAGACCGAGCGGTGCTCCGTCCCCAGCTGTCGGGTGCCCCTGAGTTCGCTCTTTTTCTTTCTGGATTTGCTGCTCGAATTTCCGGTTGATTTTCTTGTTTCTCTCATATCTTCCGCGTTTGTGCTCCCATTCGAGTTCCGATTTTTGCATTGGCTTTTTACCGTTCTGAGGCATCTATCTAAATACTCTCATCACCAGTTGATTTGGGTATTTTAATTCGGAAACCGCTTCTTCTGTACAGGAGTTGAGTATCCCATTTTTGGATCCTCGATTCGGTGTGTGCTCTTGCTTGATTGCTTTGTGGTGTTCCACTGTGTTCTTAGAGAACATCCACTCACTCATTTAGGTCATGGACATCACGGTGTTTGTCTCATATGTTTGGCAGTGATTTTGGAACAGCGGCCAAATATTTTAGAGAAATTTGAGGCTCCCATTCATCCCCTCTGATCGTCGTTTTCGGTCCTTCAAGTTGCCCAATGACGGTTGGAAGTCGGTGGAGCTCTTTGGTGTATGATGGTGGCCCCTTGAATCCATGTGAGGCTCCACCAAGGCCCTTGGATGCAACCAACGATGAATCAATGGTTGATGATGCTCCAAGGTATGTTTTGTCCCATTGGCATGGATCAGTGACGTGGTAGGTTGTGTTGGGCGATGCCAGTTAGGGTCGGCTGACCCCACCAAGTGGGTCCTGGCCCTTCTGTCACGTCCACTTGCCTCCTGGCTTTGAGTTTGTTAAATTTTGACCAAATTTTCCTATATTCAAATATTTCCAAGTACAAAACTTGAGATGTTGAACATGAATTGCCACTTGAGATGTTGATTTACCTTCACTTTAGTGGAATGTTGATGGTCAAACATGGTGTTTAGTGACCATCAACAACGATCGGGTCATGACAACTTTGGTTTTGTCCATAGACTTTCCCTCTCTGTCTAAGACTTGTATATGTAAACACTATTCAATTGAAATACAAACAATCATTTACATCATTCACTTTGTCTCGCTCTCTACTTCTATCAATTTTAACGTTACTTCTTTTCTAAGCATTAAGCTTTTGAAAGTAAGTATATTATAGTGTGGTGTTCTCAAATACACATGCATAGTGTGAAAAATAGAGGGAATTGAGAAGTAGGGCTCTCTACTAAATCGAAGTCATGTGAGATGACAACAGATCACTTTGAGAGACAACAACGAGATGATCAGCTCGCAATCTGTTCAATTGGCTTCTTCCTGGAGACCACTCGCCCTGGCCTCTGCACCTCACAGTTCATCATGTAGCGGTAGTGAGGTGGTATATGTGACCTCCACGCAAGAACACCGAACTTCCCACGAGGTCTAAAGTTACTACTACCAAACAAGAGATCTCGAATACTCATCTGGGGCCCTTCACTTTGAGCCGAGTCCTGAACAAAACCTGTTTCATAGTCATGAACAATCACCAAATATTCAGAAGACGTTTTGTTTACTCTCCGGAGGAATACCGGCTCCAAAGCTTGCCAGAGATCAGCGCACTTGTCTCCAAAGAGCAAGAGATTCACCCGCTTGAAATCTTTGACAATCGCAAGAGCTGTGCTCCAGAAATGGGCATCGAAATTGGCTTTCAGAAGGCCGCTGAAAACGGTTGCACCAAAGAAACACCCGTTCATCTCCTGCGCCAGGTCCATGGCTATTGACACAAGTTTCGGATGGTCTCGAGTGTCCGTGCTGCCAAAGGTACGCACCTTGAAGAAGTACCAGTACACTTCTGGCACGAAGAACTGTACTTTCAGCGGCTGCGTTGTTCCAAACCTTGCAATCTTGTCCGATCGACTAGCGACGATGATTTTACTTCCGATTGCAACATGACGTTTGCAGTCAGAGTAAAATTTCCTCCACACAGCTTCATCGATGTCGCCGGTTAGTTGGATTATCACCAATACCCTTTCTTCGCCATTGGCGCCGCTACGATGCTTGATTACATCACAGTCACTCAGAGTTGCCACTGTCCTGTCATCTGTTATACTATTCTGACTGAAACACATGATCTGAGAGAAGTGGTCACGCACTCTGTCGTCGTTGCAGGCGTGCTCAATCAGGGTGCTCTTCCCTACTTTGCCTGGCCCAACGATTGGCAGGACACCCGGTGGGTTTCCATCGATGGGAACCTCTTCTTGCAGCAGAAAGTCCATGATCCTCTCCATCTCCATCTGGCGACCGAACATGCACTTGTCCAGAATCAGGTACGTGCTGTACGGCTGTCGGCACCGGTGAGGACATCCACTCAGGAACACAACGAGCTCGCTTGCATCTCTGATGACGGTCTCTAGGCCGACAAGAACTTCACGGAGACGCTCTTGTTCTCTCAAGCCGCTGCCGCTGCTGGGACGGCGACGCTTTGCAGGATTGAACGACCTGGATGGCGTGGAGGAGGACGGAAGCATCATCACAGCTTGGCTTTGATCTTTGCATTTGAAGATGTCGTCGAGCGTATGGTACCCTCTGTACATCTCCTTCCTCATCTGGTTGAGTTGCCGGAGCATGGCCTGGTTCGTGACGTGCCGCTGCTCTGCCTCCTCTACGATGACGTGGACCCGAAGGAGAAGCCTCTCAAGGCTGCTCAGAGTCTCCTCCGACGTTGCCGCCGCAATCGCCGCCGTCGAGAGCTTGTCAAGCAGGAAAGACATGGATCTGCTGGTAAGGTCGCTCAACACTGCAGAGATGAACATCGACATATTGGAACGGAAGTTAACCTCACTGGAAGCTAAGAGATGAACATCGACACATTCTCGCGTGCTAGAAGCCTAGAAAATTTTCCCGATGACTCCTGATGAGGGGTCTTCCGATGTTTCAAAGCTAGGTAGAGTTGGTGTAGAATTCCAAGTCAAGATCGAGAGAAGAGATGGCGTACACTTCTCTTTGCGCGTGTGTATACAATTCAACGATAGGTTAAGAGTTGAACAGAGTATTATGTCTGTCGCAATTGTTCTTCTCCGACAAAAGAAGTTGCTGCCACCGTTGTATTGGTCTATTTGACTAACACAAAGTAGACTGACTGGTTTGTGTCTTTTTAGCGTGTCAAAAACGTCATGTATCTCCTATATTTTTCCTATATTTTAGGTGCCTAGATTTTAAGATTATTTCGAGTAGGGCACAAGGAGTGCAAAAGTTCCATTCCACGTGCCAGGCTGCTGCAACTGCAACGATAGGCCACATGCCAGGCTGTGCAACGATAAGATTCAGAAAGTAATCAAAATAATTCAAGCTAGGCGGCGAATTTGTAGAATAAAGGAAAGCGTGCATGCAGCAGATCAAATCGAGTCGATGTAGATATAACTGGTACAAATAAATTATTATTATTTGTCTTTGTATCATAATATATCAAATTTGTGTCTTTATCTAATTATAGAAACAATTGTAAATTGTTTATTGTTTTTATGCCAACATAGTTCACATTTTGTTAGGTTTTTGGTTTTGTCTAAAGTATTTTTTATTTTTGGAACTAAAAATTGTAGGTTATGTCTATATAAATTGTACGGAACTAAAACTGTAATTTTAGTATAGAATCTTGTTATTACTAATTAGAGGCCACAACGGAGGCACCATGTTAATTCTCACCAGATGCTCTAAGAAAAAAGATAAATCCTAGAAATTCTTACAATAATCAGAAACATCTGGCCTTTGATTTGGTAGATTCTAATCATCTTCACCGATAATAGCCATTGGATCTATTGTAGCTTATTAAAAAAGGCAAAATAGTGTTTTTGCCCATGTCCAGAAGTTCAATTGTGATTTTACCCCTATTTTTTTTAACTTTATGATTTTACCCCTGTCATTTTGAAATGAAGGAGCAATTTGCCCCTGGTTTGGATGTCCGTTATTTAGAGGCTGATTAAACGATTTAAAAAAATAAAACACATAAAATCAGATGTGAAACGACTGAAATACCCTTATCACAGTTATCCCATCCGCACCGTGTCCACCGGTGCCTATTGGGCAGGGCGCGCGACATCGACGGGGGAGGCACGGCCGGCGGGCTCGTGGCGCGCCGGGCGCAGCAAGGCGGGCGCTGCGGTGGGTGCGCGGCGGCGGCGCGATAGGGCGCTGGCTGGCGGCGCGCTGCGCTATGCGAAGCTCATGGCATGGCGGTGTGCACTGGCGGCGTCGCGGCATGGCGGTGGGCGCGCTTCGCGCGACAGGTCTGCGCAGCTGGGCGGCGCAACAAAGCAAAGCGCTGCGGTGGGCGCGAGCGCGCCCGGATCGGGGCGGGCGTCACGCATCATCACGGGGGGTGGCGGGGTGCTGGCCGCGGCTGCTGCGCGGCGGCGCCGGCGACGTGGACGCGGAGCAGGCGAAGGCGCAGGGCGGGCGGAGGCAGCGCGGCGGGCGGCTCGGCTGCTGCTCGGACGCGCTCCGGCGCGGCGCTGGCGCGCTCCTGTGGCGCGCCTGGCAGCGGGTCTCCGCGGCGCCCGTCTGCGGCTCCCGGCGGGTCTCTTCTCGGCATGGCTCGGGGCACCCGCCTCTGGTTCTTCTCCCCCATCTCTGGTTCTTCTGGGCACGGGAGGGGTGTCAAGGTGCGAGATAGCCGCGCGGGTTCAAGCCGGAGATGGTGCTCGTGGAGGGCGGCTTCGGCCGGGTCTACAAGGGCTGGGTCGACGAGCGCACGCTCAACCCGGCCAAGAGCAACGCCGGCGTCATCGTCGCTGTCAAGAAGCTTAACCCGGAGAGCGTCCAGGGCCTGCAGGAGTGGCAGGTGATCCATCCCATCCCATCCATCGATCACCTCTTGATCGATTCTGCACCATTTCTTCGTCTGGATGTTCGTTCCATTCCATCAGTGTTTGTGTGCTTCTAAAACATGGAAAAATCTCCCCCCTTCTTTCGTTTTGTTTGATGAAATCGCGTCTTTTCTTTAGAATCCTGATGAAATTTGTGGTTCAGCTAATCAGTTCTACATGTCCCTTCCTTGTGTTGGCAAGTGAAGTCGGAGGTCAACTTCCTGGGTAGACTGTCGCATCCCAACCTGGTGAGGCTGCTTGGCTACTGCGGCGAGGACAGGGAGATGCTCCTGGTGTACGAGTTCATGTCCAAAGACAGCCTGGAAAACCATCTCTTCAGAAGTAAGCAGCCTGCCACCGCCAACAATGTCAGTTTGGCATTCTACTTTTCAGCAGATTCTGATTGGCAATAAACCTGCCGGTCCACTCAGTTTACTTCTATACGATTGACGAACTGCAATGGTAGAGTATGGTTTTACTTCTGGGGAGTGTGTTCCCGGTCACTGATCACCTGCCTAACATAGTTTGAAAATGCATGCATGAATTTTGTCTGACCTTTGCCTTCTAGAATCGCATTTTACTTTTGGATACATAGGCGCCCAAGTTTGACTAGTTTGAGCAAGTCGCTTGTACAAGTCATGCATGCTGTTCATGGTCAGATTAAATTACAAGTTTTGGCAATGGCGACGCCACATGGTACCCTGTATGAGATTGAGCGTCCTGCAGTCTGACTTGCTGGGAGTCAAAAACTAAAAATGTCTATCTGAGCAGGGGGTGGAAACTTGGAGGCGCTGTCGTGGAGCCGGTGGCTCAAGATCGCCACGGGCACGGCGCGCGGCCTCGCCTTCCTGCACTCGTCGGATTCCTTTTAATCAATTGTCAGCGTGCAATAAAAAAAGTCTAATTCTAAATCAGGGTAAAATCACAATTAGGTATAACAAACAGGGGTAAAATTGCATGGTCATTCATGTCCTTTTGTACAAAGTTTAACACTGTTAGGAGTGGATGACGGAGCATGGGCAAACTGGTGCTTCGTTTTGAAATCATAGAGGTAAATTCACAAAGTAAAAAAAACAGGGGTAAAATCACAATTTCGATACAAAACAAGAGTAAAAACGCAAGAGCCCCATTAAAAAATTAACCACCACTACCATTATGAAAAATAGATGAATTAACCCTCTAATTTTGCATCTAAATTACCCACATCTACCATTACAAAAGATAATTCAAAATAATCCTCTACAGTTTTATATAAATTAACCACATCTGCTATAATAAAAAATAATTCAAAATAACACCCTAAATTTACATCTAAATTACATGTCTCGGGTATTATTAAACATAATTTAAAATAACACCCTAGCATTGCGTCTAAATTATCCAGCTTTGTTATTATCAAAGATAATTTCAAATAATCTTCAAAATTCGTTTCTAAATTATCCACACCAACCATTATGAAAGATAATTTAAAATACCTCATAACGATTTTATAAATTATCCACCTTTATCATTATGAAAGATAATCTAAAGTAGTATTCTATGTTTACATTTGACCTATCCATACTGTTGTGAAATAATATAAGATATTACCTTTATATTTGTATGTACCTTAGCCGTTATAAAAAAATAAACAAAAAATCTCTAAATCTACACATAAATAGTAATATGTATTATTGTAAAAAATAAATCAATATCCATAAAGTATGATACATATATATTTGTAAATTAGAGACTTCTGTAATCGTGAAAATAAAATAACTATAATGTTATGTTCCACCATGGATATCAAATAAACATATATACGTTATGATAAATATTTATTTTAACAACTTATGAAACATGGAAAGATATTCACTTAACAAACCACATAGCAATAACACTTTATATTGATATATTTTTAATGAAACATTATGTCATATCAATATTACTAATTTAATTTTATACACTCTATGGTATATAAATAATACTATACGCATATAATCCTATTATATAACAAATTCAACATGTTTAGTGTCGGAGTACAAGCAAGTTTCAACTTATTTGGAAAACAATACTAATAGGACCTAGACTCATTTTTAATAAAAAACTATTTTCGAATAAAAGATAAAGAATACTAGAAGTTCTAATTAACATGTGAAAAATTTGCAGCAACTTGATTAAAAGTTAAAAGATAACCTATAGATTTACAATGTCAAAAAAGGTTGTATCAAGAGTTTATATATCTTAAGACTAGATTTCAACTAAATACATATCTTACTAGAAAAAATATAAATACTAGAAATTCTAACTAGAGGTCCCCACTAGAACCTACATGTTAATCCTCACAAGACTTGATGAAAAACCAAAAGATTGATCCTAAAAGTTCTAATAAAAATCAGAAACATCTTACCATCAATTATAATCAATTATAGGTATAACCTAATCTCCATTGATAATAATAATAATAGAAATTTGATCTATTCTATTTTCTAAATAATTATCCACTTCTACTATTGTGTAAAACAATATAAACTAACCCATGACTATAATTTATATTGCCAACATATGTCATTAAGAAACATGATCTAAAGTAGACCTAAATTTACATTTAATTACCGACGTCCTCTTATTATAATCAATAATTTCATCTTATTGTTAGAAAAAATAAATACCCCTCAAATCAACATCTAATTTATCAACATATCCTATTACAAAAAATGTTTACATAAAGAATAAAGCATATATACGTTTCTACGTTACCCCATATATCAATATTAATGTAGTAAGATTTGATTAAGTAAAATATACGCGTCATGCCAAAATCCATGTGCAATAAAATACACATGTTATGATTCATCACATAAAAAATATTTTTCTAATAACTCATATACTAATGTTACTAACAAATTATTTAAAACCATATTAGTAACCATAACATATAATTTATATAGATTGTTACTTTAGATATATTTATGTATTTTAACTAAAATATTTGACATGTCTATATTCATAGTATAACCATAACTGCAAATATAGTTCCTTAATAAGAAAATTCAATCATCTTGAGAAGTGTGGGAGACCACTGCTGGCTATATTTTTCTGGCCCTTTAAGAATATTTTAGAGTAAAAAATCGATTACCATAAGGTATAATAAGTATTAAAATTCTGTTGAGGTTACCACAGCTACCCCTGTCCGAGACCCCACCTCAAGCTTATGACTTACCTTAAGCGATATGGCGTATGTTTCAAATAATGGTTTATGCTGTTATAGTACTTAAGAACGTACTCTCTATGACTCTCGACATTATAACCCTGGGATATTTCAGGGCACCTTAGTTAGCAGGCCGCGTGCCCCGCAACACAATGGCTAACAAAGGCCGGAACGACCGAGGCCCAGCGAAAGCAGAGCGGAGTGGGAAAGGCACTAAGGCCGGGGTCATCCTCGACCCCTTCCATCCGCCTTAGCCCACAACGCTTGCAAGATGCATGACCTCTCCCTGTCATGCCCCCCGGGAGGATGGGGGGAGGTCGAGTGCAGCTAGGCGCGCCTGCTCTCCCAAGAGCAAGCATGTTGCACTGATCCGGCAAGGACCGAGGGGACGATAGTCACCTCGGCCCGGTCAGACACCATCCCTGTGCCATGCCGCACCGATGAGACAAAACCGCACCATGGTGGCAACGGGTACGACACCCACCGTCCAAATACGGACCGACTAGACGCTTGTATGATCCCACCCACTATGGGATGGGGATCCATGATAAGGGGCTCGACAAAAAGGCCATCTAGAACGGCAGAGCGCCCCAGCCCCGACGATTGGGGTCGTGGCCCTCGGACCTGCAAAGTGACCAAGCAAACAATGACCCAGGGTGGCTACCTACTTTGGGTACGACGCCCCTAGGAACCAGGAGATGATGACGAAGGCCATGACGGACACTGTGTTGCACACGACAGCTGACGAACCGCCATTGAGGCTACAGTGCCACCACGACTAGCATAGTAGTGCCACGTCACATCCTGCCACAACATGGCTAGAAGACCATGATGATAGCTATGACCGAACGTGCACTAGAAGACGGCGTAGCTTGCAAGCCAAGTTAGCTAGGCCCTCCCTCAGGCTCTCGACCCTTCGGTCAGGACAACCTCCTCTTTGTATAAGCCCTGGCCCCAAACTCTATATAAGGGCAGCTAGGGCACCCATCTTGGATGATTCACATCCTCTACCATTTCATTCATTCACCATTGTAGTAAGGCTCCTAGAGCTTCTCTTTGGGCAGCCCTTCGCCTAGCATAGGTCCTTCCATCTCTTCCATCTTTCTTGCACCCCCATTGTAAGAAATTCAGAGGATTCAAGCTAGGAACACGCACTCGATCATCTTTGAGATTGGACATAGGGCTTTGGCTAGAACTAGTATAAATCCTCGTGTCTATTGGATGCTACCATCGTCTTCCTAGAGCAGCATGGCAATCATATAAGTTCACTAGTCCGGTTTACAAAACACCAACAGTTGGCGCTCCAGGTAGGGGACAGTCGCACACTCTCGTTTATTGAGAAGGAAGTGATGGCTCCTTGCACTGCCGGTGGACTCACTGGTGGAATTACCCTTGGTGGCCACATTTGCTGCAGAAACTATGAGTTCACTAGCATTAAAGGGCCAGCACCTGTGACCGCCCATGGCTACGACCGAAACCTCTACCATAGAGATCAGGGACATGTAGCCCACAGCAGACACACTCTCAGAACTGCCTCTGGTGGCAGCATCCTAGAGTTCACCTACCCAGAGGGGCCAGTACCCTCGCTCACCGCCGGCCGTGTGTAGGCCTCCCATTTGGGAAACTAGAGGTCCAAGTCTCGCAACAAACTCGCCTAGGGAATGGCCTCAACCGGCCACATCCTTTTGGGGAACCACGCAGTTAACCGCACCAAAGGGCCACCGCTCGCGTCCTCCCTCAGTTGTGACCTAGGCCTCTGTCTTGGAGGTCTGAATTCCACGGACCATGGCGGACACACTCTCAAAGCTACTATTAGTATATTTTAACACACACAGATAAATCCGCAAGCGCATAGATACCGCTGTAGCTTTCACCTGAAAGTATTCCAAGTATCGTATCCACAGGGAAACGTGTGAGACTAACTACGGTCTAACTTAACTAAGGGTAGCAACAAGGTTAGGATAAATAGGAGCGTAGAGAGGATAACAAAGGTTCTCTAATTCTGACTTGGGTAAGCTATGTCTTCTACTATTCAACTAGGGATATTACTAGGGAAAGACACTAGCAGAGGATGCTTTCCTTCACAACCACGTCCTATGTGCCCTTACAAATGGGAGATGGACTACAGAGGATTCAATGAGGCTATTAGAGTCACCCTCATGAGCTACCATTGATCCGAATGCAGGATGCATCTACGATTAACCTAAGTCTAAGCACTATGCTTACACTTATGATTAATACTTTACTCCCCCTAGGAAGAGAATAAAGCACTATAAACAAGATGCTTACTTGAATCAAAAGTTGATTACCAGAGAGAATCTCAGAGGCAAGCTTAGATAGAACTTGGATCCGCCAAGGTACAAGCCGTAGAGAGCACCGATAGGCCAGCACCTCCTCCAAACTCTTCCCTCACTCTCTATCTCACTATTTCTATTTATAAGACTAGATCCTATGGAGGACTAATCTTCTCTTGATAGCTGGCTTTGATCCTGATGAGGAGAATATGAATTATGGTTTTAGGATCTACTGAGGGAGGGGGGTACAGGGCTGTTTATATAGGCCAGAGCGTCTATCATGAGCCCTTAGATCAAACCAACTTAAAGGATGGCATAGATGCAACCTAGGAGGTGGTGGGAAACTGACTTAGCAACAAGGGGCTGACTGATGGACCCCAGGGGCTGG